AGTCTGGTTCTGTATAAACTTCTTTAATCCTCATTACTGCTCTATAAAGTTGGTACTATTAGTATTTGTATGTTATAGATGGGGAGCTCTGGTAGCATAGCGCCTAAGGCACTTGACTGCTAACCAGAAGGCTGGCAGTTCAAACCCACCAGCCACTCCTCAGAAGGAAGGTTGGGCAATCCTACTTCCGTAGTGATACTGCCTTGGAAACCCAAGGAGGGGTCGCTATGAGTCCGGTCTGACTCCATGGCACATAACAACAACAACAACATTTTATAGATGAGTAAACTGAGGTATAGAAAAATCAGGAGACCCATAATGCCACACAGCTCCAAAGTAGTAGAAGTATATGTTTTGAATCTAGACTATCTGGATCCAGTCTATACACAGCACAATACCTCTTGAGAAGTTTGGGTTAGAGACATTGGTTAGAGGGTTATGAGCCTGTAGACAGTAATTAAAATCAAGGAGTACATGAGGTTACAAAGGAAGAGTGACACATATTTATCAGAAGGAAAATAAGCTTCAGTGCTGAGTCGCTATGAAGATATTTCCAGTATTTCTTTCCAGGCCCCTGAACTCTCAAATGTCCTCCATTATAGTTTTTCCCAGGTACCCTTCACATGTTGTCAGCAGTCCTCCCAGACTCTTACAAAGTTTATGATGTTCTTCATAAAGTCACAGGACTATCCCAAAAGACCTTACTGCTTCTTGCTGTGTATACTCTGTTCCTCTATCAGATGCTTGCAAACACCTCAGACAGTAAGAGTTTCAACTTAAAATGATCCATCATGACAATCTTCTTTTGTTTCTTTGCAATGGGACTCACATTATCATTTACATACATTTCATCAGTCATCATGGGTGCTTGCCAGAACATAAACTCAATGACAGAAAGTGGTATCTCACACATATTGCAAAATACAATAAATCAGGATGCCAAGAAGAGCACCATTACTCATGGCCAAGAGCGCAGAGCTGAGCCTGCCTACTATTTCTCAATGAATGAGGATTATCATTGCTCAGAAATTCTTAGAGCATTTGGGGGCAGCGAGGAGAACGTAAGTATATACAGTGTAGCATATATATATATATATATATATATATATATATATATATATATACACACACACACACACACACACACATACTTTTTATTGTGATTTGGGTGAAATTTTACAAAGCAGATTCATTTTACACTATAGTTTATATTTCTTAAGGAAAATATTTCAGAGGCAAATTGTACCAGAAGAGGTAGCATTAGATAAGTAAGCTTTTAGACAGTAAATAGAAGCACAAGAGAATCAAAGACAAGATGAATGTTAACATAGACAGAGGAAAAGGAAAAGAAGACTGAATAGTAATAACCAGAAAAAAAATAAAAAAAACTCGAAAAGATGAAAATAAGAAGAATGTGGTTTCATAAGAGCAAAACGAGATTTAAAGAAGTGAGTGGTTAGTGTCAATGCAGGAGAAAGGTCAAATAGGATAAGGGCTGGAAGATGTCCCTTGGATTTAGCAACTGGCAACCCTGAAGATAGTTTCAGTGGTATGATAGGGATCAAAGCTAGACTGTAAAAAGTTTAAGAATGAACAGGATTTGAGAAGTGGAGACAATGAATTTAGGCAAGGTGTTCAGGAGTTTAGGTTTGACAGAGGAGGCACATATGGCACTAAATAGAGGAGGGTATGGGAGGGAGGAAGAGTGGTTTTTAGATAACAAAGACTTGAACAAAACAAGACTTGTGCAAAACAGACTGAAAAGGGAACAGAGCAGAAAGTAAGTTTGAGGGGATAAGATATGGGGCAAAGGCATTGGGCCCCTTCCATTGTGATAGGAGAGGAAAGGATGGGTAAGAAAGAGCTAAGTGTGTGGGCAGGGGTGGGGGTATTCAAGATGCTGGGCACTTCCACCTGATTGCTTTTATTGTCTTGGTGAAGCAAAAGATGAGTTCACTGGTGGAAGAAGACATTTACAAACTGCCTACATTTGCATGACATATGTTGGCCTCCTTCTCTGACTTCCTAAATCATAGGGCAACAGATCCAACAGCCTAATTCTCAAAGCCAGGTTGATTTCCATATTCTGAGACAACTTCTAAGATATATAACTTTTGCTTTTGAAAGAGTAATTTGTAAAGGAGCCTCAAGAGCTAACTTGAAAATAAGACATGATTATTAACTACTAATTTTAAAACCAGAATAATATCATATGCATCCTTATTTGCAATATTAACAAAATGCATCTTCAAGGAATCTCCAAAGGTATATAACATCTCTAGAGCTTATATTTTCTCTCTCCTTTGGTTCAAATGGTTTCCTTCTAACCCTGACTCCATGGCTGGATGGTTTGTTAAAGAATATCACCAGCAATATACTTCCTATCATCTTAATTGTAAGAAATGCCTTCTATATGCTTAATATCTTATAATCCACAAAGAACTTTCATATATTTTCTCATTTGACCTTACCTAATCCTGAGAACAAAGGAAGAGAAGCATTATTATTCTCAATTCATAGCTAAGGAGATAAGATTTAAAAAAAATTTTTAAGTGAATTGCTCACAGTCACACATCTGGTGAGAAGACAAAGACTCAAACCTGTCTCGTGACTCCAAAGGCAAATACTGTTCTGCTATATCACACTCTATTTATGATGACTTCTGAAAATCCAAAAGGTGGCTCAAAGTCCTTCCAGCCTCAGATTAATTTCAAATTCACTTAATTCTTTAAAATGAAGAAGTGTGCATTGTAATTTCAATGCTATGTAATCATTATGGATCTCACCAACCTCTCCTATAATAAAGATCCCAAGTAACCTTGAAGCAGCAACTAATGTTCTTTTCTCAGATCACTCTCCTACTCAATTTATCTTCCTCTCCCCAAAACATAAAACTCAAGGTCCTATAGCCTTCTGGAGATGCACATGAAGGCTTAATATCGGGGAAATGCTGAGCATCTGCAGCAGAAGGAGGTATGATATTATCATCCAAGGAAAACTATAACACAGCCTCCTGCAATTAAAGCAAATCATAAATCAATCAGTTAATACATTTAAACATAAAAGGACTAAGCAATGTTTGCAAATCATCTCTATTTAATCTGAGTTCACAAATTCAAGGGGCAAAAATTAGTTTTTTTCATGTCATTTGCATAAAAAAAAACATAATAGTTTTTCCTTCTAACTTTGTCATTTTATTTTTTCTTAAAATCCTTATCACAACCACTGTAATGAATGTTAAGCCACAGAAGTAAAGATAAGAGAAAAAAAAATTGTTTTTGGTGTTAATACAAACCCTATGAAACTTGCAATAACCCTAACTAAACTACTGCTAATTCTTTCCTTCTGCAACAATGGACATTGTTTGAAATTCTCTACCTTTTCACAAGTTTTTCTTTATAAAGTAAAAAAAAAGATATAGTCTACATAATTTTAGCAAGACAGTCAATCTTTCCAGACAGAGTCTGACATACAAGATAAGATCAGGAAAATGAATGTTTCTTTACTAGGAAAAATGTTATTTCAAAAATATGAATGTAATACCTTCTATAGCCTTCAATGTAATCATTCAGTATAGATTTACAGTTCTGCTATATTGACTTATGGGACTATATGGGAGAGAATTCAGTGAACTTCTGATAGAGCCTTTTCTTTTTCTTTGAAGTGTGAATTTAAAGACCACTTACCTTTAGAATGCTATTTCTTTCTGCAGAAAGCTAACCAAAACTCAATTTTTTACTCCTACCTTGTAAAATCTTCTTCTAAACAGAACAGATTAAACTAGCTGGAGAAAAATCGCAAGTTATCATCATCAACAGCATTCTATTTGGCCTTCCTTTGTCATCCCAGCACACTCCTAAGGCCAAGGCACAGTAACAGCACTCACAGATAATAATTATGTTCCTCACTGAATGGGCTCAAATGACCCAGCAGAGGCTGAGGACACCGATGAAGGAAGAAGAGAAAATTTTATTTCAACTGGAATTGAACAGCATGAAAAATGAAAGGTAAATCAATTAGGGTATTTTTAAGGTAAATGTATGAGCATTTTGCATAAGATTGTGTCTATCTGAAGTTAGGATATTTCTTAGATTAAGCCAAACTATACATTAATAAATATCCTTCATCACTCAAAATCATCATCTCTAAGATCTTTCCTTTGTTCAACATCCAAGAAAAAGTTTTCAGCCTTATAACCACATAGAATCTATAGACTAACCACTTGGATGAGTTTCTTCGTAACTCTCCACCATTCAACCACTCAGGCCGACCTTCTAAATTAATCCTGGTGAATATTTGACCATCACACACCAAAAACCCAAAACCAAAATAACCAAACTCACTACCATCAAGTTGACTCTGACTCATAGGAAACCTATAGGACAGAGTAGAACTGCCTCATAGGGTTTCCAAAGCTGTAAATCTCTAGGGAAGCTGACTGACTCATCTCTCTCCCATGGAGCAGCTGGTGGGTTCCAACCACAGACCTTTTGGTTAGCAGCTGAATGCTTTAAACCACTGTGCACCAAAGGACCTTCTTACTAGATCAGGTTAATGAGTAAAAACCCCTACTTATTTATTTCATAATTGCTCATCTAACTTTTCAAACTTAGATAGACACCTTTTCTTCTTTTCTCAATTATTTACTTTCTTAAAAGATAGTAATATCTTTCACTTCAAGATATTAGCCACTTGCCTAATTCATATTTAATGACTTATTAAGTCCTTTAAATAGCACAAATGAAAAGCACTTGGTATGATATGGTTGCAAAAATGGAGCCTACGTACACCATCTGCAAAGAAGAATCCATACATGTAAGTATGTGTCCTGCAAATGTTCAGACTTTTGGCAAAGAAATAATCAAGAGAAAACATTCTTGATGTTTTCAAAATCATTTTCAGTTGTAAAGAAACTAACCGTCTAAAACCACATCAGGAAAGGCCAGAGAATGAGTGAAATTTACAACCAGAACAACATCATAAAAAGTCATTGTACTCACTGTCTGATGGCTTCTGTCACAGTAACGCAGCCCGAAATAATCTATCTCCACGAGGTTTATGTGACGGAATACGTGGTCAAGGACAACAGAACCTTTAGTTGACTTCTGCAAAAAAGAATTCAGTTTTATTTTTTTAACAAGATTTCTTGTCTTTTTTTTTATACTCAGGCCATTATTTTCTCTCCCTATATATTAATAAAAGTTGCACCTTCAGTAAGAAAAAAAAAAAAAGATGTCTTGTCTTTGTCAGTATGAGTCATGCTTCTCATCTTTTATTACTTCAGCTCACAATGCAAACAATTTTATAAACTTATCACCTCCTCTTTAAGTTTTTCCTCAATTACAAGGAAAAATGTGAATCAAATAAGACTAAAGAAAATGGCTTGGGAAATAATATCAAAATTTTGTTGTTGTTGTTAGCTGCTGTCAAATAGATTTTGACTCATGGTTACTCCACATGTGCAGAATACAACTGCTCCAAATGGTTTTCAAGGTTGTGGCTTTTTGGAAGCATATGGCCACGTCTGTCCTCCAAGGCACCTCTGGGTGAGTTTTAAATTAATGCAAGGTTCTTTTCTTACAGGATTGTGAATTATCTTCACACAAAATTTTCCTTTTAATAAAACTAACCTTTTATATGCAAACTATCTAACACTTTTAGTTAAAATCCCAACATCTACTTTAAAAAAGCAATTTTCACCTGTATCATTACTTCACAATTAAGAAGATATATAAAATTAAAATTAAAATGTCAAAGCTTTTATTTTCAATCCTCAAATAATAAATCCATAGATTAAAGTTGTTAAAGCTCATGTTCTAGAAAGCCCTTGTATTTTATGTTCTCTTTCCCAGAAACAAGAGCTCTGGTAGCCCAATGGTTAAAGTATTTGGCTGCTAACCAAAAGGTTGGCAGTTCAAACTCATCAGCCTCTCTGAAGGAGAAAGATGAGGTAGACTACTTCTGTAAAGATTTACAGCCTTGGAAACCATGGGCCAGTTCCACTCTGTCCTGCATGGTCACCATTAGTTGGAATTAACTCGATGGCAGTGGATTTTGTTTTAGTTCTCACCAGCACAGACAAAGAAAAATACTTTCCTTGGATGCCTTTTAAATGCTGACACTTATCTAAATATCTAATCTCTCCTCTCCCCTAATCCCACTAAGTATATGTTGTTGTTGTTATGAGTCGGACCTGACTCATAGCGAGCCCTCCTTGGGTTTCCGAGGCAGTACCACTATGGAAGTAGATAGCCCCATCTTCCTTCCGAGGAGTGGCTGGTGGGTTTGAACCGCCAGCCTTCTGGTTAGCAGTCAAGTGCCTTAGGCACTATGCTACCAGAGCTCCCCACTACATATATAGATGCTTTAAATTAAGAATTTTATCATCTGACATATTAGATACCAATTATCAACATGTCAAATAAGCATTTAATTAGCAAGCACTGCTCCACATACCACATTCATGTTCAAAAATAATCTGTTTCAAAGGATCATGTACAGATACAGACTTTTCCTGCCTTTTGCCCATTACTAGCAGGGGTAATAGGGCTTTAAAAGAAATCCTTGAGAAGTGTCATGCTGTGGAAAGGAAGAAGGGCTTTTGTTCTTTGTGCATTTCCTCAGAGAATTACTGTTACATGCTTATCCATGTGCAGTGAGTGCTCAACATTGCACTGTTTTCATAAAATGGATTTGTACCGTAAGGGAAATGTTTTCATTAAATGTATTATAAAATGAATGAGATGAGAGGATAAAGGAGCTCTAGTGGTGCAAATGGTTAAGTGCTTTGCTACTAAATGAAAGGTTAGTGGTTCGGACCCACCCAGTGACTATGAGGGAGAAAGACCTGATCTGCTTCCATAAAGACTACACCCTAGGAAACCCTTTGCGGAAGTTCTACTTTGCCATATGGGGTTGCTATGGGTTGGAACAGACTCAAAGACACCTAACAACAACAGCAAGAAGAGTTGATAAACATACATACTAAGAGAAGAAACTTTCTGTAAATCCCACAGGCATATTGCTTTTCTCTAAATTACTCGGAAACCCAAGCAGGGGTCGCTATGAATCAGAATCAACTTGATGGCACTGAGGTTTTTCTTTTTACTGTTGTTGGAATAAAAGCAAACAATCTTTTATGCACTTACTAGCCAATTACTACCTCAGAAACCCAAGGAGGGGTCGCTATGAGTTGGGTCTGACATGATGGCACATAACAACAACAACCACCCCAAAATTTACAAGCATATTCTCCTAAATGCTTCTAATACTTACACAGTTTTATTAAATACATTTAGCACTTCAATACATCTAGAAATTATTTTTGTTCTTGGGACAAAGACCTAATTTGTTTCCAAATGGATGGATAGCAGACTCATCATTTACTATAAACCCACAATTTCCCTTCTGATTTAAAATAACTTTATTATCTACTAAATTAACCCCTTTGTATACCATGGATTATTCCTATACTCCTGGACCAAAACACCAAGATTTTAATAAATATAGATTAATTAATATTATTTGCTTGGGATCCATCACCGTTTCTCAAAATTGTCTTCACTTATTCTTGGACATTTTTCTCCACTACAGGAAGTTTAGAACTAGCTTTCCAATTTAATGAACAATTCTTTTGGGATTTTGATTGGAATTAAATTTAATTAACAGACTGAATGACTTGGGGAAGATGATATCATAATTACAAAATGAAACATATATGGCTTTCTTTTATAACCTTTAAGGAAGTTTATTTATTTCATGCTTTTATTTATTTTTTATTATTTTTTAAAAATACATTTTATTGAAATATAACTTATGTACAGTGAAATACACAAAACTAAAGTGACATGGGTCAATGCATTTTGGGGGAGGGCAGTGTTCCTGCCCCTCCCCTCACACCTATGGTAACCAATAAAGAAAGTTTCCTTCCATATATAAACCTTTCCTGACTTTTAACAATAATGAACTAATACTACATTTGTCCTTCTGTGATTGACTTATTTCACTCAGCATAATGTTTCCAAGTTCATCCACATTATGTGGTGTTTTGCAGATTCTACATTATTCTTTACTGTTGCATAGCATTGTGTGTATGTCTCATAGTCTGGTTATCCCTTTACCTGTTGATGGGCACCTAGGTTGTTTCCATCTTTTTGCTATTGTAAATAGTGCTTCAGTGAACATGGGTGTGCATATATCTGCTCTTGTCTTAGCTCTCATTTCTTTAGGATATATACCTAGTAATGAAATACCAAAACCAAACCAAACTCACTGCTGTGGAGTTGGATCTGACTCATAACGACCCCTCCTTGGGCTTCCGAGGTGGTACCACTACCGAAGTAGATTGCCCAACCTTCCTTCAGAGGAGTAGCTGGTGGGTTTGAACTGCCAGCCTTCTGGTTAGCAGTTAAAGCTTGGTTAAATGGTATTTCTAATTCCAGCTTTTTAAGGCATCACTATACTGCTTTCCTAGGAGCTCTGGTAGCATACTGCCTAAAGCATTTGACCACTAACCAGAAGGATGGTGGTTCAAACCCACCAGCCACTCCTCGGAAGGAAGATTGGGCAATTTACTTCTGTAGTGATACTGCCTCGGCAACCCAAGGAGTGGTCGCTATGAGTCGGGGCCGACTCGATGGCACATAACAACAACATACTGCTTTCCACAGTGGTTGTATCATTTTACAGTTCCACCAGCAGTGTACAAAAGTTCCAATCTTTCCACATTCTTCCCAGTATTTGTTATCTTCTGTCTTGTTGAACTTTGCCATTAGTGCTGGGGTGAGATGGTATCTCGTTGTTTTGATTTGTATCTCTCTGATGGCTAATGATCATGTGCATTTCTTCATGTGTTTGCTAGTCATCTGAATATCCTCTTTGGTGAAGTGTCTATTCATGTCTTCTGCCCATTTTTAAATTGGATTGTTAATCTTTTCATTGTTGAGGTGTTAGAGTTTTCTATATATTTTAGAGATAAGTTCCTTATCAGATGTGTCATTGCCAGATATTTTTAAGGAAATTTAATACTTATGTTTATGCAGATCTTGAAAAATTTTACTTTGGCTTTGTAACAGGAGGAATTTCCAAAATGGCCCTCAAAGATGTCCTTCTCTAATCCCTGGAACCTGAGAAAATGATGAGATATCATTCTGTGATAGTGTTATGTTAGTTGGCAGAGTTAACCTTAAAATAGGGAGATTATCTGGGTGAGCCTGATATAATCATATAAGTCTCAAAAAAAGCAAGGTGTTTTCCCCAGCAGCAGCAGAAGACAGAAGGGTAAGGAAAAAGTAGAAGCAGGAGGGACGTTAAAATGATTTGAAGTGTGAGTTGGATTTGACACTACACTGCTTCCTGAAGATGGAGTGAGGCAATTGTTTTGGTTACCTAGTGCTGCTCTGGGAGTTGTGGTAGCATAGTGCCTAAGGCATTTGACTGCTAACCAGAAGGCTGGTGGTTCAAACCCACCAACCACTCCTCAGAAGGAAGATAGGGCAATCTACCTCAGTAGTGATACTGCCTCTGAAACGCAAGGAGGGCTTGCTATGAGTCGAGTTCGACACGACGGCACATAACAACAACAATACCGCTCTAAGAGAAATATACCACAAATGGGATGGCTTGAACAAACAGGAGTTTATTTTTCTACAGTTCAGGAGACTAGAAGTGCGAGTTCAAAGTGCCAGGCTCTAGGGGCTGGGTGAAAGTCCCTCGACCTTGGCCTTCAGCTCTGCCTCCTGCTCCTGGCCCACTGAAGCCAGAGGCATCTCTTCACTCAGATAGCTACTGGCTTCCAGTCCACTTAAAGTCCCAGGGTCGGCAGAGCATGGCAGGCTGCTGAACAGCTACACGGCTACATGCAGGGCTCAAGCGTGCCATAAGCTATAGACCATTCCCAAAGCTGCTACTTATATATGGGAAGCAGACTGCATCCCTAAAGCAGCTACTCCTGGTAGATCCCACCATGGAGTTGATTACCAGGACTACATCCAGCTGCCCAGCCACTCAACCAGGCTTTGCCAATCTGACACACAAACTTAACTACCACAGCAACGTAAGAAAGACTTCGAGCAACCTCAGGAGCTAAAGGTCCCAGCTGATAGCC